TTTTTTTAACATATCTCCCATATAATATTGAGGATATACTTTAAAAGTATTTGTGGTTTATCTGAAATTCAAATGTCATAGGGTGTCTTATATTTTATCTGGCAAATAGAGAGAGGCAGGTGCTGCCCACTGGAGACCTGGTGGCCTGGTTCAGGTGGCAGCAGAGGAAACGGCGAGGAGTAGATGGATTCAAGGATGGTTTAGGAGGCAACGTCCGCTGGCTCCAAAACTGCACCGATTGCCCAGGAGTAGGATGGTGATTGGAGAAGAGGGAGCTGATGCTGGGAAGCACTGTGTGCCTCAGACCCCTGCTCCAGGCACCAAATCCAGGAGACTCCAGGACATACTTGTGGCTCAGCCCACTCTCAAAGCCACAGCATTTATAGGATTCTGGCTGCAGGAGGGCACTGCAGAGCAGGGCCTGGAAGGCAGGTGATGGTGAAACTGGAATAAGTGGTCCCAGGAAGAACCGATACCAGCCTGCGTTCTGTTGGCTTCAGGCAAGTCACTGAACTTTCTGGGCCTCTGCTCTTTCTTAACAAAGTCCAACTAAGAGCAGCTTATTTCAGGGGGCAAGTTCTTTCTCCTTTTGAAATTCCCCAAGATAGAAACCAACCGCGCCAGGTGCTGAGACAAGCTGGGGACACCCGAGGCTTCCTCTCTATTAGTCTAAATACAACACTGCCAATCAACAGAACCCCCAGGTGGAACCAGCACTGTGGAATGGGACAGATCCACGTGTCTCCACTGGTGGGCAGTGTACCTTTTCACTGAGCACTGACGGAACGCTGGGCCCTGGGCAATTTTGGTGCATCATTTAGCTTTGCTGAGCCTGTGGGCCGCCTGTTAAGAGTGGATAGTATCACTTACCTCTCCCAGTTACGCCCAGGGAGAAATGGGAGCATGAACCCACGAGGGACACATAGTAGGACTCAGAAAGTCATGATTGTTCAGGATTAATAAAGTATCCATCTATCTGCCCACCCTAAGACACAACTTAGTGTAGAGAGACAGGCAATACAAAACAGCAAGGAATTGCCCCAAACAGAGGGTTTGCAGAATTAAGCAGCAGCACTGAGCAGGTGAGTCTAATTTGGGGTGGGGGAGGGTTTAGGATGGCTTTGCCCAAGAAGAAGTATTGCTTGAGCCCAGGAATTTGAGACCAGTCTGGTCAACATAGTGAAACCCTGCCTCAAAAAAAAAAAAAAAGAGAGAGAGAGAAAAAAAAATCTCAGTCCAGTTCTTGCATGAACACCCAAGAAGGCTGTTCAAGAGATGGGTTTGAAAGATGGAGAGAAGTTGGCAAGTGGATATGGGGTCCAAGTAACCCAGAGTCGAGGCAGGCTCAGATGCCACAGGCTTGGACTGAACCAAACTATCAGGACACTGCAGTGAGGACCCAGCCCTCAGGCATAAGGATGGACCAGACTTGATGCTTTAGTGAGAGCAGTTGACTAAGCAATTGTGCCTGCTCATGTTTCAGAGAGGCCTTTACACAACAGACTGAGAACCATTCCTTTTTTTTTTTTTTTTTTTTGAAGAAGGGTCTCTCTCTGTTGCCCAGACTGGAGGGTAGTGGGCTGCAATAGCTCACTGCAGCCTCAACCTCCTGGGCTCAAGCAGTCCACCCACCTCAGTCTGTGGAGTAGCTGGGTCTATAGGTGTGTGCCTACATGCCCAGCTAATCAAAAAAAAATTGTGGAGATGAGGGCTTACTCTATTGCCCAGACTGATATTGAACCCCTGGGCTCAAACAATCTGCCCACCTCAGACTCCCAAAGTGGTGGCGCTATACTTGTGAGCCGCCGCACCTAGCCAGAGCTATCAATTTTATTTGTTTACTTATTTATTTAGAGACTGGAGTCTCCCTCTGTCACCCAGACTGTAGTGTGGTAGCATGATCTTGATTCCCTGCAGCCTTGACCTTTGGGTTCAAGTGATTCTCTTTCCTCAGCCTCCTGAGTAGATGGGACTACAGGTGCGCATCACCACACCTGGCTAATTTTTGTTTTGTTTTTTTTAGTAGAGACAGGGTTTCACCAGTTTGGCCAGGCTGGTCTCGAACTCCTGACCTCAGATGATCCACCCGCCTCAGCCTCCCAAAGTGCTGGGATTACAGGCGAGAGCTATCTATTTATTTATTTATTTATTTTTAGGATGGAGTCTTGCTCGGTGTCCAGGCTGGAGTGCAGTGGCGCGATCTCAGCTCACTGCAACCTTCGCCTCCCGGGTTCAAGCAATTCTTCTGCCTCAGCCTCCCGAGTAGCTGGGACTACATGCACATGCTACCACACCCAGCTAATTTTTGCATTTTTAGTAGAGACAGGGTTTCACCATGTTGGCCAGGTCTCAATCTCTTGACCTAGTGATCCGATTGCCTCAGCTTCCCAAAGTGCTGGGATTACAGGCGTGAGCCACCGCGCCCGGCCGAGCTATCAATTTTTTAAATGCTGTGTGCTCCTTCACTCTTCCTGCAGCCTTGAAATTTGGCCCCGATTTTTCTGCCTAGAACTTCATCACATTAAACACTCTTATACATCTGTGCCTTCATATCCTCTCACAAAAATAGGTCATTGTGTCGGGCCAGGTTAAACAAACGTGCTCTTCTTGAACTCTCTCTCATAAATTGCACCTTGGAGAGTGAGAAAATAATTGCACTGGCAACGGTATTGCTTGAAGTTCACACACTTGGTAGAGTGCATTGGAGACGTGGTCTCAGAGGCCAGCTGTTAGGAGAATGAAGCTTTCTAGCAAACCCCAGGGTCTCAGAAGGTCAGAATCTAGAGGCGCACAGGCTCGATGACGGGACGTCTAACAATGGCACTGGTCTAGAAGCCGGTGGATTTCCCACTGACATGTAAGGAGTTAATCGTTTCTGTAAAATAATTGAGCAGAGGCCACGATCTGACGGTATGCTCTTCCCAGTGGGAGAGAAGATTGCTTTCCAGGGTTTGAAATGCAGTCAGTGGCCCTTTAATAACATTAAAAGGTGATGAGCAGGAGCCTCTTAGCCTCGTGGACATTAAGCCAGGGCTGTAAATCAGCATCAGCGCACTTCCTGCTGCCACCCCAGCTGATATTACCCGCATTACTTATTCACATCTTCCCAGGTGCGATGGGAGCCGCCCAGCCCCAGGGGCTCTCCCAGCCACGCGACAGAGGGGCTGGATCAGCATTCTGAGGCAGGCCACACAAGGCTAGTGGCAGGGAAAGTAGAGCTCTGGTTTCTAGTGGCTCAGAGATGATACAGAAATTAACCGTGGCCATCGGGGAGGTGGAGGGTGACTGGCAACTCTTCATGCTTTTAAACCAGCTTGTTCCCTGGGACAGGCATGAAACATCAGACTCGTGGATTTATGGCACTCTGTAGAGCCAGGGACACTGGCAGTCGGTCGAATCCATCCACCCAGTTCCCATGCTGGCTCTGCATAAGAAGTTTAACCTGGGAAGCTTAAGCAAAATCCCCAGGCCCAGCTCCACCTGCAAAATTCTGATTTAATCCGTGTGGGTGAGGCTCAGGCATGAGTATTTTTTAAAACCACCAGGGAGCTTCCACTGTACATCCAGGGCTGGTGGAGCACTGCTCACTCTGGCTACCCTTCCTCGTTTACAGATGAGGAAGCTGAGACTGGTACTGGAAAAACACAGGCCAGGGTTCAAAAGGCGTGGCTTCTGGCCCAGTTTTTCATATTCATTCATTCATTCACCAAAGACTTATCAAATTGGTGGGCATTCCCTTAAATGCTGATTTATGATAGTGACAGAGAAGGAAAAAGGCGTGCTCTGCCCTCAGTGAGCTCACAATGCCATGGCGAAGATACGTGTGAACCAGGTAACATCCAAATGAGATTTCTGCCCCTAGAGAGGAACCTGGTGCCAGCACAGCCCATACAAAAGAATCCGGCTGGATAAAGAGGTCAGAGACACGCCAAGCTGAGTCAGGGCGCAGCAGGGGTACGGATGGGAGAACATTACCACCACTGGAGCAGCAATAGCAGAGGTCAGGGGCCCGGAACTGAAAGGAGAGAATGAGGGCAGAGAGATGGGGAGAGAGGTTGTCAGGGATTGTCCCTTGCAGACCTCGTAGGCCACATGAACTCACGAGGGGTTGGGCAGCCTCTGGGGCTTGCTGGGGGCATGCAGGTGGTTTAGTGGGGTGCCCTTCTCACAAGAACACCAGGACGCTGAGTGGAGAGCATCAAGCAGGTTGCTCTGCTCCCTTTGGTCACGTGGGACACAGGAGCAGAGGCCTCACGGGGTGAGGTTTCTCCCCAAGAGTGGGGAGCCTTGCCCCAGAGTAGACACAAAAAGGCCAACAGGAGTGAGGGCTGGAGAGAAGGCCAGGGCTTGGCCTTGGGCTGTAGCAAGGAAGACAGGAGAAGTGGCTGGGCTTAGAGTACAGAGGACATAAAGGGTCTTATTCTCCAAGTGTGAGACTCTTGGGCAGCTACTTCTGCCTGGGCCTCAGTTTACTCATTTGTATCATGGAGAAATTCTACCAGTCAACCTTCCAGCTCTTGTCTACTTCTCATTCATATCCAGGTCACCGGCCCAGGGTCCCATAGCTGGTCCCTGGCAGAGCTAGGAAAAAAACCTTGGTCTCCAAACCAGCCAGGCTAGCACCCAACAGCACTGTCCCCTTTGAATCAATCCAACTTCTGTTGATTCTTCCTACCTTTGTCTTGGAGAGGAATCCCAAGTCCCAGCCTGGCAGGGGACAGGGTGGCCTGGGCTCGTTTCAGCTTCTAGTTGCCTTACTGTCTTCTCCCTCTCTTGGGTATGTGTGCCCATGTCCACAGGTGACACACGGTGAGCCCCAGAAGTCCTGCTCCAAGGTGACTGACAGCTGCCGACACGTCTGCCAGTGCCGGCCCCCTCCCCCGCTGCCCCCACCGCCCCCGCCCCCACCGCCTCCCAGACTCCTCTCCGCCCCAGGTAGGTAATGGCTTACTCCATTTTTGGGTTTCTCTTTGTGTTTTCCTGGGCCCACGAAGATCCAGTGAGCATGGCCGAGGGCAGCCCTGCCTCCTTTGTAATTTTCCACTGGCCAAGCAGGAGGGAAGCCAAGGCCCAACTTTTCCCTGCAGTCTGCAAAATGCCGTTCCCACAGAATGCTCCTGCAGGATGGAAAAGGATGTTTCTCCATCGGTTAATCAGATAAAAGTCAATCTCCATTTGATGAGTGACTTGGTCTGGATTGTTCCGAAGGCCAGATCTTTAAAGGGGGCAGCTGCTAGGGACTGGTCTTAAATAACCCCCCTCCCTCAACACACAGTTCTGTTTCTCTATTATAATTGACATTTAAGGAGGCAGTTAGGGTAAGTCAACGCTCTGGGAGCAAAGTTACAAGATGCCTTTTAGCCGTGTGCACCGAATTCTGCTAAAACCTCTCTTTGACTTGTTTGCCTTGGACAATTCCATCTCTGAACAATTTGATTGCATGATCATTCAAACAAAGGAGCATTTCTTTAGCCAGAAATGGCCTCAGCCCTGACCTCTACATGGTAAAATTCCCTGTTTACAATTGCTACTTGATAAGGTCTCTCCAAAGGAGGCTCTGTATTTCACATGGCTCCTTCAAGTTCCCGCCTGAAGGATGTCCGTGATCATGTTCTCATCTATCTCATTAAACACATCTCCATGGAATTATTTGGGATGTATTTTAAACAACCTTTGCACAGAGCTTGTTCTTTGGGAGGCTGCGTTTCCAGCCTCTTGGTATCCAGTCTGTGTTCTAGAGGATCTTTGCAATTGACGTGAATTTCTGCATTTTGACTGTGAGGCCTCTGCATATCTCCATCCTTCCCTGACAGCCTGTGACCCAGTGCGTCTCAGCCTGGCCCTCAAATGACCTGCTTCAGCATAACCCAAAGCATTTGTTTTAAAATGCAACTTCATGGGCCCACTTCAAACTGACTGACCCAGAGCTTTTGGGGTGGGACTTAGGAATTGTCACAATAACAAGTCCTGAGGTGGTTCAAATGCAAGTTACAGTTGAGGACCTACGCCTGCCAGGCCCTCTGTTCCAGGCCTCTGCCAGATCCTTCTGCCCCGGGATGCTCACTGGCCTCCTCTCTCCAGAAAGAATCCCTGGGCCTGCACTGTGGGGCCCGGCCTCAGGCACCTACCCTTGGACATCACTCCCTTCCCTTCCTTTGGAACTCCTCACTCTCCCACGTTTTGGGTCCCAGGGGACATAGTCTCCCAGTGGTTTGTATTTGATGATCCACATCCCCCAGCTGGATCCCTTCAGGTTATCTTGTGCTCCCTGAGCATCTGTGTCAGACAGGAGGAGCACTGTCCTGGCCTTCTGGAATCTCAGCCCTCCCAGGGAAGGTCATCCTGTCAGCAACCCACAAAGAGGGGCCTGAGAGAACACGGAAATGGTTTGCCAGGTGCACGGGAATTCCCGAGTAGTTAAGCAAAATACTAGCCCAGTAAACAGTAACACTGACAGGAGTCTTTAAGAATAAATGGGATTGTCCCAGGTTGCTAAGGAGGTTGGGGGAAAAGGGCATCTAGGCAGAAGGAACAGAGTGGACAGAGGCTTGGAAGTATGGCTCTGTGAGAGTCTTCTTGGGAGTCACAAGCCCTTCAGTGGCTTGAAAGTGTGGCCAAGGAGGAGGACCCGGAAGGGCCTCATGTGCCTGGCTGAGCGGATTGCATTTCATCCTATGGGTCATTGTTTGCCTAACAATGAACTGCATTCACGGGTCTCCAAGTACCGTCTCTTATTTGCCTTATTTTTTCCCTTAAATAAACTCACTTTTGTGTTTATACAAGTTAATTTCCTTATCTTTATAAAACTACTGTAAATGAGAAATCAGTACCACTTGCATAAATAGAAGGTGACCATAAAAATAAATGCAATGGAAGCAAACCCAGGTTTAAAATTTCAGCCTTCTTTGGAAGGTTCTGAGCTTGAGGCTTTCTCTCTGTTTGTTACAGAGGGAGAGAAGCAAGTGGTAGAGAGATGCCAAAGCCACGGCGGCACAGCGCTGAGACCTTCTCTGTAAAGTAATTGTGAAGTCTGTGAGAGAATCAAAAGGAGCTTGAGTTTCTTGCTATAGGTTTCAGTGTGTTTGAGTGCTGGGTTCATGTACCATCTAAAATCAGCCCTCACAGCTGCAGGGACGTGGACCTGATGCCTTAGGAAACTGCTTTGGGCAGTGATGAGCCTACAAAGGTGTTAAGTGGGGAAGTGACATGCGCCTATATTGTCTGTTTCAGAAAGATCAACTGTTTTGACAGCGTGGGTTGGATTGGAATGGATTGGGGTTGAGCAGGCACGCTGGAGTCAGTTGGGGGTCTCTTGAGATCATTCAGACCCCAGGCCATCCAAGAGAGCCTGAAGCCAGGTTGGCGGCTACAGAGATGGGAGGAGGCCAGAGGAGAGTGCTTGGTGGAGCAGAGGGGAGAGAACTCATGTTGAGTTTTGGGACTCAAGCTGCTGCTTGGGAGAGGAGAGCTCTGTATGGCAGGACTTTCTCAGTTTCAAGTAGCAAAAACACACTTTGAAGTTGCTTAAGCAATACAAAAAATAGGGAGAAAGATGTCAGCTTGTGGGCTCATGTATCAGGATGTGCAGGCAGCAGAGCTGCCAAATCCATGGTCTAAATGATGACGGTATTGGATTTCCATCTCTGTTGCTCTCTCCTGATTTCTCCCGGGTTGCCTTTTCTCTCAGGCTGGCTCAGTCCCTGTAGCTCCAGGCTCCAGCATTCCATCAGCCTTATAGTCAGTAGTCTCCCTAGGAAGAGACCTTCTCTTTCCCAGTGGTCCACAGGAAGTCCTGAGGCTGACTTTCACTGGACCAGCTTGGGTCATGTGCTCACCCGTGGGCCAGTATGGTGACTTCTGGGATAGAATATGCTGGTTGGTCATGCCTGGGCCATGTGACTACCCCTGGAGCTGGGATGTGTGGATAGGGGTTCAGGGAGAGAAAGTTTCTTTCCCAAAGGAAAATCTGGATGGAAAGGCTATAACCAAAAATGAGATCATGGCTACCAGGCGGGGAGGGCATGTAAGGTGGATTAGACCAGTGGTAGAGAATGTGATTTATTCATTCTCTTGGTCCTCCTTGAGCTCAGCCCAGAACCCTGCACACAAGTAGTGCCCAATGAATGTCAGAGCTGCGGCCACATTCACAACTTCTGCCCATCATAAAATACAAGTGCCTGCTGTATAACCCTGGAAGGGTTCATGTCTCCCAGAGGGCACAGGGCTTCAATGCCATGGAGCCTTTGCAGACTCTCAACAGGTAGGCACTGAGCTCCAAGTGTGGGGCATGGTGCCAGGGCCAGGGAGCCAGCAGTGAGCAGCAGACAGCTCCTGCCCTCGTGGAGTTCATGGGCCAGTGGACTGTCATTTGCAGAAGGTATTCATAGGAGTGTCCTTTCCTGCCATCTCTCTGGATTCACTGGCTCCAGGCATGCGCTAGTCCCTGTCCCATTTGCTCCTCTGATACCCTTTGCTTTCTTGCCACTCACACAGGCCTCTCATTCACCTGGCAAGCATCTGCCAGGCATCTGTTCTATGTCCAGCCCTGTGTTGGGCACCCTGAGGAATACAGAGTCACACACAGACTTGTCTACATCAGCAGGGCCCAGGTCAAGAAAGACCAAGGACTTGGCGTAAGAGGCTGATTCCATGAGCCTTTCTTGAGCCTATGTTAGCATGCTAGCCCTGCTCTTTCCTCTTCGTGGTTTTAGAGCCGGTTAACCTAAGCCTCCGTTTCTTCCTCTATAAAATAGGTTCATGGGCTACACCCACCTCATAGGGTTGACTTGAGGGTTCCTGAAACTACTTCTGAAAACTAGACAGGCATCCATTGCTGTAATCATCCCGTGGAAAGCGTTCTGAGGAAGAGCAGCCTATGAGTGCAAGCCAGACTTGGGGAATAAAGAGGTGCTATTGGGAAGGGGACACGTAATTCCAAAAGGGGCAGGGAGGGTGGTTCCGGAAAGACAGGAGAGAATTATTCACTCCTAGCGCAGACCTGGGCCCTGTCACTTCCTCTCAGAGCCTCAGTTTTCTCATGATTCCTACCTGCTGAGGAATTGTCACAGGTAGAATGGGACAGGTGGGAGCAGGGGGAGGCTGGACAGGCCACGAAGGAGAGGAAGGGGCCAAAGCAGAGACCCAGAATTCACAGCCCAAGTATCAGGCAGGAGGCCCCCTGCTGAGGTGACATTGATCCACAGGCATGTTGAACTTTGGTGTATATCCTGGGATAAAGGGAGAAAGAGGGGAGAGAGAAACACCTATTCGTGCAGACCTGTGAAGTCCCCACTATAAGTAATGACCAGGAACCTTCGCAGGGCATCCTTCACATGGCCAGGCAGGCCTTGCTCTTCATCCAGACAGCACCTGCTGCTGCCCCACCCCTCGGGGTGACCTGCTTGTCCTGGCTGGCCCAGGCCTCTCTAGGTTTTAGCCCTGAAAGTCCCATGCCCCAGGAAGTCCCTCAGTCCTGGACAAACTGCAACAGCGGGTTTATAGCAGGTCACCCTGCTGCCAGACTACTCCTCTTCTGGCAAAGGCAGCAGTGGATTTTCAAGTGGTTTTTTGTTATGTTTATTTGGGGGTGTTGGTTTTGTTCTATTTTGCCATGCATTTTTTTTTCTTTTTTTGAGACGGAGTCTCGCTCTGTCACCCAGGCTGAAGTACAGTGGTGCTACCTCACTCACTGCGACCTCTGCCTCCTGGGTTCAAGTGATTCTCCTGCCTCAGCCTCCCGAGTAGCTGGGATTACAGGTGTGAGCCACCATAACTGGCTAATTTTTGTATTTTTAGTACAGACAGGATTTCATCATGTTGGCCAGGCTGGTCTCAAACTCCTGACCTCAGGTGATCCCCCTGCCTCGGCCTCCCAAAGTGCTGGGATTACAGGTGTGAGCCACAGCGCCTGGCAACCATGAATCTTTTGAGAGCCC